GCAAGGAATACACTAAGATATCCAAAAAAAATCAATTCTCTTCTAAGATTTCACACATTCTCTTTCTCTCATTGTTGTATTACGAATGGTGTTCGAGTTTAAAAACGGCCGTTATTGATATCTAGTCAGTTTAAGATTATAGGTTGAACTCGTTGCTAGTTTCGTTAAAAAGCGTTTCTCGTAATAATAAAGTATTCACTGAACATTGTTATGGTTTCAATATCATCATTTGTTGACTGTAATCGATGATTGAAATAATAAGCACTGACGATCTCTTTTCTCTATTTGTATGTTATCGCGGATGTACACAAAGATTATCGCGTATGATAAAAAGTCCTTAAGTCAATTGTCAACACAATCATTTTAACACGTTTATCAACAATAGCACACTTTCTGTATTTTATATGTCTCGTCAATTATTTACTTATTTCATCTGTTTATAGGATTTTTTTGCTACTGTTCATGATGCAATCTATTTATTGGTAAGTGTATACTTATCATATAAAAACAGAAAATAATTTCTAAACTTTTGGTGTGTGATTTTTTACAGATTGCATCCAGTGTAACAATTCATTATTGTAAAAATCCAGGACAAATTGGCGGAGGTGTTATGGGTATTTTTGCATGCCTTTTGATTGCTGGTGATGCGGTTGTCATTTTTCTTGCACGACGAGATGAACATATTAATAATAGTAATAATAATACACCACGATAAAAAAAAGATATATATCATTTTTATGCTCTATATCACGAACAATCATAGAGTTATTTTTAGATCATATGCAGAATAATTATTTATCTATCCGAGTTATTAACATACTTACACTTTTTTATTCTGTGATCTAATTCGTGGAGTCATCATCTCATTAGACGATATATGCGAATCTTACTATGTGTTTTTTCTTGTTGTAAATTTTAAACGCTTATATCAAATATATATATATATAGAACCTCCGATTGAACTGCGTTTTTTATTCTTCTTAGTTAGATTAGACATTGTAGACAATGATTTCATGTTATAATTGTGATACACTGCCCAAAAGGAATATCTTTTTGTGTTCTGTCCATTCCATGAACAATACAGTAACGAAACGAACTATATTATATTGAATATAGAAAAGTGACAAATTTTAACCGGTTTACCAAAATTCAGATTTAACATAACAAATCGACATGTATTTTTGTTGATATATTGATGAGCATACAGATTTATTGATGGTATATAATGTGTTGCTGAAGCTACAATTTAATTTATATATGAGAGTAGATAATATCAGGAAAAAAATAGCCTAATGTACCGTCAGCAAACATGATATTTTTTATGGAAATAATTAGTACTGATAAATTAAAACTTCAATTTTTTTTAGCCTTATATTAACATAATGTTTTTAGTAGCTGTAAGAAATACTGCAAATATTCTTTTAAATTTTCAAATGTTTAAATTTGTTGTCAAATATAATAAATTCTTTTTTTTTGTAAGAACTGATCATACCGTCCGGTAATATCATTATGAATTTAAACATGACACAGTGATTTTACCTCGACAAAAATACCTCGATAAATTGTACATTGTAAGGGATAATATGGTGTTTTAAATATTGACGTACAGTTTAAAATTCATTACAAAAATCATATAATAATCAACATTTTAGTAGTATCGATATTTAAAGATAATTTTTTTTAATCAATTGATAAACATTTTGCAGCTGTAATGCTCCCATGATCGTATGAGTTGCCAACGCCAATGATTTGGTCAGTCTATAAAATATTTTCCATATTTAACTCATCAACAAATAATTTTTTTTGAGAAATATTTCACGTTTTGAATTAATACAAAAATATTTGCCTTTTACCGAAAAAATTATGTTTTTTTAGGTTCTACATAAAATGATGAAATAAAATGGGTTTTTATGATAATAATCACACGTTGACGGAGACTTTGAATCCACGCAACTATCTACTCTCGACTTCAGTTTAAGAATACCCATAATTAGGCCTAAAACTATTGCGTATTACACATTTAGCAGTAATCCCCAACCTTTTCAGCAATCATCTCTTCCTCATAATCCAATGGTAAAAATATGAGATGTCGAAATTGACCAAAAACTAGGCATTTTCGAGCGTATACTTTCACCCAGCTATCTCCTCTATCTAGCAGGAGTAACTAGTAAAGATACAGGTACTTGAATTTGATCAACAGCCTCTTTAAAGAAAAGGTTATCTCTGGATTCATTATAAATCGTTAATCGTTCATTACTATTTATATGTTTTTCATCGCGTCTTATTGTTCAAAGCTCTTTCTCTTCAGAAAGTCGATATCTGTGAAAAACTCGTTTTCGAGATAAGTATATAACTGTACTCTGTAAAAACCAAGGTTTGTGTACGAAACCTAAAATGATATAGAGAAGTGCAACCATTTCTAAATCCTGTGAACCCTTTTAGGTTTTTTTCTGAGCAAGTGCTTTATTTCAATAGCTTTGGCGTGCTTTCATAGTATAGAGCGGCGAAAACTGAGTCAAAAAAATATCTGAAACTTCTGTAGTTTTTGGTTTTTTTGCGAGAAAATCACAAGAAAAAAACATAATAACGAAATAAGCAAATGCAATGATCAATCGTTTCAATGCACTTAAAACGGCTTCGTACCCTACCTTTCCGTCTACGAAACCTAAAAGGGTTTAGAGATGATTGCACTTCTCTATACCCTTTTAGGTTTCGTACACAAACCTTTTTTTTAGAGAGACGAGGTAGTCTAAAACGTATAGTTTCAGTCGGTATAATCTTCTACATAAAGTACACTTTAAGGATTTTATCCAAGGTTATTTTAGAAGTACTAAAACTAGTCTTTTTGACTTCAGTGTCAATGAACCTATTTTCTAAATATGTCAGTGTTTAGAGTAACCTCTTTGCTGCAAAATAAGATCTGATACAGTTATATGAGAATTCTCACTGGAAAGTTACCATTTTTCTATAATCGCTAAAGTGTATCAACAAATACACAAGGGATATTGTCTCCTTTCTATTGTTGATAAACGTGTTAAAATGATTGTGTTGACAATTGACTTAAGGACTTTTTATCATACGCGATAATCTTTGTGTACATCCGCGATAACATACAAAT